ATATAGTGAAATTTTAGATTCGTGGGTGGAAATATTATTAAAGAAAAATAATTTCTTAAAACTGTTTATAATTTTCGTTTCAAAATTATGTTTTATTCCACAGAAATTTAAATCAGATGTTTTTTCAATATTTGTATTTTGAAATAGTAAATGTTTTTTTTTCATTTTCATAAAATATTTTTCTTGAGAATATAATTATTTTATAATTTTTTTTTAGAAAATTTAGTCACAGTTAAATAATACATAATATGCATTTTTTCCAAAAGAGTAGGAACTTTTCAACAAAAATTAATTTTTAAAAATTTAGTAATATTCATTATTTATAAATTTATTCAAAGGAAAATGAAATGTTCTTAATTTTCATATTTTCTTAAATTTAATTTATATGTTTTTAATAACTACTACTACTACTATTTATCTATTAAATGTGCTATTATATTTTTTTAAAGGAGATTTGGGTATATTTCTAAAAAGATTTTTTTAACTGTTTTTGTAAAAAAAATCTACAACAAATTATTGTCTTTAATAAAAACTGCTTTATTTATTTAGAAAGTAAAAATCATTCAAAAATAATTTCATTATTAATTTTTTCATAAAATGTTTACTTTATTTTATAATATTTGTTCTTTATTTTGCTTTAAAAAAGCAATAACAGTTTAAAAATAGTCCACAAATTTTTATCGCAGAATATTTTTAATGATTTTTTTCGATTAAAAAATTAAATTTGAAAACAAATTGAATACAAGATATTGCGTGATAACCTCCTTAAACTGCTACAAACACTTCATATTTCATTGCCATTGCATTATGGCAGTCTGTGTTATTTATATCAGTTACTTGTTCAATGACAATGACTTCCCCCGATTCGGTGCACCGAGGAGCTTATATTGTAAAAAACAACAGTTTCGCGAAATTTTTCAATGAAAGGCCCTAACTAATATGATTTCATGAAGTCATATTTCTTTCAAGAAAATTTCAGTATAAGAAATTGTAAGCAATCGCTTTTCTCTATAAACCGCTTCCTGCTGCCGGTAAACTAAATTATCTTTTTTTATTGGTTTTTTTTTTAATCAAAGCATGCCTACTCACAGTTTTCTGATATGCCATCGAATACTATACAATATACATATATCGCTGTACTTATATGTGCATGTATGTATGTATATTGTATTTATTCACAACAACAACAGCGCAAATGTCGCCACTTAGTTCTGCTTTGGTTTAGAATTTTTAATTTAAATGTGCACAAGCGAAAGTCAAGGCCATTTCTCGTCAACTTTCATGCACATCTATATGCAAGCATACATATATATATATATAAATATATTTTTATGCATAAAAGTAATGAACGTTTGTGTGCATGAACTTTGTTCCGCTGTGGCTGGTTAAATGCATAATTCATAAATAAATTGCATATGTGAGTATATAAGAGTTTATGTGTGTTTATATGCATATAACGGTGTGTAGCATAAAAAACACACAAGAATAAATCACAATTGTGAGCTTGCTCTATATTGTCCCCTATATATCAGCTGTAAATGGAGACGAATAGAAAAGAGCAATTTGTGTAGTAGATATATGTTTGAGTGCATACGGATGTGCACACCCTGCGAACAAAGTAACACCAAAATTTCGATTGTTTTTCATTTATGATCTCTTTTTATAGTTGTATTGTGCTTATTTATATTTTTTAAATCTTTTATTTTTAAAAATTTTTACATTTTTTATTTCTAGTTTTTTAAATATATATAATATTTGTAATTTTATATATATTTTAAGCGGTTGTGGCATTGCATTAATGATTCAACAACTTGTTGTCTTTTATATCTGTAATAACAGTTTTTGTTGCTTTTGCTTCGAAATTTGTTCCAACTAATTTTACTAAAATTTTTCCTATTGGGTTTATTTGTATACAAACCAACATACATGTCATTTACTTTGCTTAGCATTTATATATAACAAATTTCCACGGTCAATTTACGCTGAATTTGCTGGAAAGTACGTACATATAATATAATGGTTTCAATATTTCACTTTTTCGCCTTTTTAATCGTGCTCATACACAGTTAGAAATTGGTGCACAAGTTTTTACTCATAATTGGAATGGTATATACATATATGTGTGTGTATGTATGTATAACTGTATCTTTTCACACACATATGTACTTGTTATATAATTTTCTTAACTTAATCCAATTTGTGCCTTCTTGTGTGGTGTTGCTGTTGGTGCTACGCGTCGTATGAGTAATGCGCCTATATGAAAATAAGAGAAAATTAAAATATTATTCATACGCCCAGCAGTTTATTTTCCGTTCTCTAATCTTATTCTAAGAAATTGTAAAAAATAATATTTTGTTTGCAGCATGAAAACAATGATGCAACTACTTATCAGATAATCATCATCAGCTACTTGTTTACAAATGCATATGCCGCCGTAGTATTCTAATGAAAATTTTGAACTTGCTCTAAGCAGGAATTCTAATACAACAGAATTTTTCCAATTAATCACTCGCATGCTTTGTAACAACATTTTTTCTTCTACAATAATATAATTATTTTTTAATGTTTTTTTTTTATTGCCGCCTGCTTATTGCTGGTAAAGCTCACTGATTTTCCCACACTCAATCATTTTTTCAATTGTAAAAATTCTGCGATTATATCGACTATATCTCAATTGATTTTATGACGTGGCAAACACAAAAAAGCATACAACAAAAATGTGAATAAAATCAATAACTCTAAGTCACTTATTTGCGCGACTGTGTCGATATCCACAAAGTACAATGCCTCCTAAACGATTCACTACAATAAAAATAACAATAACAATAACAAAAAAATCACACTCGCCAGGTAATTGGCACATTGTCATTGCCACAGACAAGCACGCGCACACTTTGACAGCTGCGAGTGCAAACACTGTGATTTCTCCAATCAAATGTCACAGTACACACACATATATATCTGTATATGTAATTAATAAGGAATGCTCATATGCCAGCTGTTTTCTAAGAGTGTGTGTAGTGAATTCATTCCATTTTATCATTAGTGGGCGTACTTGAGTCAAATATCAATAACAGATGCAGATAATTGAAATGGTGTGTGAGAAAAAATCATCACGATTTTTCAGAGATTTTTGAACTATTCCCTACACTTAAATAAACATACGCACATACATACAAACGCACATTTCCAAGTTAATTAATTCGGTAAATTCCAATGCGGATTCAGCAAATAAATCGTTGTGTGAATAATCGTATCAATACACTTTCAATGATGGGTATTTTTCTTAGAAAAAGTATAAGTGTTAGTAATGTTATATATATGTAATGAAGCGAAACAAGTTTAGAATTTCGATTTTAAGTTAGCAAATGTTTTTAATTTTTGAAAAAAAAATTATAAAAAAGATAAGAAAGATTTTTTTAATTATATCATCAGCCGCATACAATAGCAAAAGATTATTTAAAAATTATTTTAACCAGAGAAGCGGAACAATTTTTATAAAAATAACAAACTTTTGAACCTTTTTTTAATTAAAAAAATATTTTCATTTTATTATTTAAAAAACTTATTGCGGCAAGTAAATACTGGAGAGAAATAAAGAAACCAATTAAAATACAAAATGACGGAAAACTGTATATTGTTTCCTTAATGGTATATGCTATTAAAAATCGTTTATTCAAGTATTGGAGAAAAATATTATATTTAAAAGTATCAAAATTACTAAAACAACCAAAAGTTGGCTTATTTTTTTATAATATCAGAAAAAATATTGTTGAAAAAGCAAATGATTTAAACAAATCTGATTTATGTTAATGTTAACATTTTGAAAAAATGTTAAATTAAATTAAAGTAGGATTTTTTTTAATGCTGTTAAGAAATAACATTTTTTCATTTAAAAAAATTTAAGCATACGTAAAAATACAACAAAATAAAATATCAAAAAAGGTATTAAGAAAATATTTAGTCAAAAACTTTATTTAAAATAATTTATATGTATATATTATTGTTTATAAAAAAGGAATCCTAACAAAAATATTATTTACAAAAAATTCTCAAAAAACTAAAAGTTAATTAAAAAAGGAAACAAACCAAATATTTAAAAAGTATTAGAAAATTCTTAATTTCATAAATCATTATCTCTTTTAAATACTACCGTCAACTCAATTCCTAATACAGTATTACGGTTTTGAAATTTTATAATTATTAATTTTAATTTATTATTATACCTCGCTTTAAGTTTCGAAAATTTTGTAATTTAATTTTTTTATTTTTTTACTTACATGTCACAATGTTAAATATAAATATATTTTTCATAATAATATGTATATTTTATCACCCAAACACAATTTTTCATGCCACACCCCGTCACAAATAAAAATGTCACACCTAATTATAAAAACTGAAAATTGCAAATCATTAAAATGCATAATGAGAAATTCATAATTAGCGAAGAAACTTAATTCATAATTAGCGAAAACTTTAATATGTAGCCGCTAATTAGTTTGTCATAAGTCTTACACAGATCGCAGCGCCTCAAATTTAATTTGTTCATATATTTTATAAACAAATTTTCTTTAAGGTGTATTTTCAGCTTTTAACATTAAAAAATTATAAAATATTGAAAATTCGTAGTTTTTGCATTGGTATAAAGCTATTTGATTTGATTTTTTAGAGAGTAGAGAGTCGCTTGACTTTGACTATTATCCAATACTATAGTCACCAAATGTAGCCAAACTGAGAGCTGAGTTGAATTGACAACTGTTTGTGATGGTTTAACTCAGTTGTCAATCAGAATTTACGTAAATTATAATTACAACATAAATTATTCGATTTTCATAATTTTATTTTATTAATACGAGACATATATACATATACATATATGTATATGTGTATATATATATTATTTTTTGCCTTGTGAAAACTAAAATTTTTCTCATCATGATTTTACTCTGAAACCAGCCATAATTAATTTTTTTCTCTCAAAATATCCCGGGTGTTTTAAATATATATTATATATAATTATAGATATTCCGTTATTTATGCCCTTTTTGCGCGTATAACAGTATTGTATATTGAACCCTGCGTATTCAAGTGGTATTGAAATATATTCTCATTATATTTCTCTGCTAAAAACATATAAAATACCCACATGTAATTACCGACATCTATTTTTCTATGAAGACTTGCTTTATTGCAACAGCATTGTATTCATCACCCTCAACTTGAATGGCTTCAGTGGCGCTGTCAACAGTTGCCATATGCACACAAAAGCCATAAGTGCGTACAATGATTTGTTTACTCCACTTCAATTATAGCAAATTCGCAATAATATTTGACCCTGATTGCCAGCAGCGTACACACGAGCGGGTGCATTGACCGCTTCAATCGTTTATAGCAATATACGAATGGTAATAACAATAATTCAGGGCTTTTTAGCACAAACGGCTTAACTATTGATTACAGTTTGTTTATTTCTTGCTTGTTGACAAATTGTCATTTTTTGTTGTGGTATTTGCATTGTTTGCAGAAAATGTCGAAAACAATTTTAACGCAAAAGTTTTTAATTTATTAGCTTTATTCAAGCACATTCATAGCTTTATATGACATTTGCGCAAACACATGTGAAACAGATAACGGTTATTATATATATGAAATCGTGTATGCACTCCAATTTTACTGTGATGATCTCATCGATGTTATTTTAAATATTTTAAATATTTTTTTTACCAAGCGATTATTTAAAACAGACCAATCACATATTGCTCATTATATGAACCATCAGTGCTGATCACTTTCAAATAATGTCTGAGTCTCAGTTGAAGACAAAAAGCAAATCGAGAGAAAGTTAACTTTTTGTGGGAGAACTAAGCCAATCTCATTTTTAATCAGTACTCATCAGTTTATTCACTCGTCTATGCGAACCTTAAAGCCTTTATAAACAACTGCCGTCAATAAAAACTTAAAAATAAAATAATAAAAAACAAACCTGTAACTGTCTTTCCATCTCTATTGCCTTGGCGCCAGTCATAACTGTTGCAATAAAAATTATAATTAAAATATTAAGGGTAGGCCCTTACTCGAGTAAACAAAACTCTTTATGAACAAAATAATTGGAGTTTATTGTGTTGCTTCGATGCAGCCGAAGTTAACGGTTTAACTTGTTTTTAATTCCTTTAAATATTGTTCTAAGCTATTGCATAAATAATTAGTAAAGAAATAATTTCAAATAATTATTTTATTGAATATAAGAAACATAATTTCGCTTAACCCCAACAACTACATACCCAATTATCCATCACCCTAGTACCAGCAGTTTGCCCTTGCCTTAAGTACTGATAACCGCTTTACCTACACTATATGTATAACTATATATGTATATACAAATATATAGTCTTCACTACTCCACCACTTGCTCCGCTCCACTTTGTTTACTTTGAACGCCAGAAATCGCGTGCGAATCTCAATTATTTTGAATTTTATAGCCAATTGAATGGCGCTTATCGCAAATATTGTCCACTACCGTGATTTTCGTTGGGTTAACCCACTACAAAGTGTCAACTTAAACGTTGTGAAATGTTGTATCCAAATATAATATTAATTTTATACTAACATATATGTATGTATATTTCGCCGATAATAAAAAAGTCCAAACCCACGAACCTGCACCCTTAACTATTGCACCGCACCTTTCGTCCACTATCTCTGTACTTCGCCGCGACATTTCCATTAGATAAGGACTTTTGCACTCGCCAAAATAAAAAAATGGTAAAAATAACTGTGCTTTATTTAAATAGCAGCTACTTAAGCTACTCAATTCAATAAATAGGCAGTCATTCGAAGTGTTAACAATATGGTTAAAAATTCATTTCTCGCGCGTTATACGGAACGGCGCAGATGCCTGCTCTCCTGGCGGCGTTGCAACAGTGATGTGAGTGTGTTCATTATTATTTCGAGTTTGCGAGTGTTTTTTGTGAAATTACGAACACTTTATATTACATTTCACTGCTGCTTGTTTGCTAGAAATATGTAGACTATGCAATATAGTGCAATTGAGTGTGGTGTGCAAATGTGATGGAAATAACGATTGCACGTAGTGCAAAACGTGCTCTAGAACACGCGACTATTTTTCAAGCCAAATATGTGTGAATCATTGCTGTTGATTGTGCTCTCCAATGCGCTTTCAAACAAATGAGTTGACAAAACACGAATGCAGTGAAAATTTTGACGAAAAATGTCAACTCACAGATTTCCAATTAGTTCAAGTAGATCAGAAGCTTTAGTTTTTGTTGTTGCTGTAGCGGCTTCACACATTTTCTAAACAGTTTTAGAGTAATTATTTCGTGTTGACTTTATTTAGTCGTATATAAATCCGGTTACGGACAAAACTATTATGAGAACTATCGTTAAATCACTTGTACAGTTGCTGCTGGGGCTTCGGCAGTACTTAAAATATATTTAAAAAAATAACTAAATCGTAAGCAGTTTTGGCAATGTAGATGTCATGTGCTGTTTTCACTTTATTTTTACGTTTAGAAGCTTTGTGATTCTTACTTGTTATCAGAGTTTAGAATTCCTAATTCTTTATCGTTACTGGCAGTTGTTCGAAAATAACTCCAGCTCTGCAATAATATTTGTTTAAGCTGGTAACATACTGTGCCGTAGTAAAAATATAAAAAAAATTCTTACATAACCAATACTTATCAAAATCAAATAGCAACCGCGCTTAGATGTCTTAAATCGAACATATTGCGCCCATCAAAAGATAAATAAAAAATATAATATATGGCATATATATATTTATATTTTACATTTTATATATATACTCGTATACATATGTATATGAAAATTGGTGCGAATGGAGTGACGCTATGTGATGAATTGCCATCAAAAACCGGTAATATCAACTCATAAATAACAGGATTAATTGACTTTTCTCAAATAAAATAATATAAATATAATTTTTTGGCATTTTTTTTTCCTAATTAGTAACAGTGGTGACACAAATTCATATTTCGATAGCAATTTCACACAATTGTTTTTGTCTCCAGCTGTTCACTGTTGCTATCAGCATCGAATAGAATAAGTATACTATAGTTTTTGTGCGCGAATACTACGTCTATTTTGGGTCGAAATCACTCGTTACCAAATGTTATTTTTTGCTTAATTGCTGCTGATTCATAAATGTGTCCTCGCATCAATACCAAAATTAGATTATTATCGATTTATGGACTTACATTGTTATGACATTATAAGAGCGTGGCATTTTCCCTTAAGCCCAACATAGATACATAACAAATTATATATTATATAAACACGTAATTATATGTTAAGCAAGGGCCTTACCAGCGGCTTGCAAACTGTTCAGTTTCAGTTACCTCACACTGAAATAATATATAATATAATTTAATAAGAATAAGTGTATGTGAGTAAGAAAAATTAGTTTCAATTTTAAAAAAGTTAAATTTATAATTTTAAAAATTAGAATTATAAAAAAAATATAGAAAGTATATTCTTTCGATACACACAATTATTTAAATATAATTTTAAATTTTAATTATTTTTGATTATTTAATTTTTTGATTAAGTTTTTAAATTAAATTAATTTTTTTCACATATCCGTGTATTTACAACTAATTTCACTTGTAAATTATTTAACAACACTATTACTACATATTAGTTTTCTTGAAGTTCACCTCATTTACTATTGCATATTAGCCACCTAAAATGAGCTAATATAATGCAAATATTTAACCACTAATAACTTTTCTCATTAGTTATGTGATTATCTCATTGCTATTATGTCAAATAAGAAATTAAAAATGTATACAGTTACTTAATTTTTTGCTAAAAATAAAAGTGGTGTTTTTTAAAGATTTCTGCATCAGTGCGAAAAAATGCTCTAATGTATAGTAGATGAGTCCTCTCCAGAACTGCGAAAAAAGTTAAAATATCTAGCACTCTTTTCCAAAATATGTGCAAATTATCTTCTCCACAAACTCGCCGTGGTGCTTTTCTAAATGACTTTCATTTGTACACATTCTATTCTACTTTGTTCAGTTTTAATTTGTTTTTGGATATGTGGTAACTCTATTTCAAAATACATCTGATTTTTAATTTCCGAATACTTTAGAGGTTATTTGTCAAAGGTCATACTTTTGGTACCTTTTAATATTTGACTCAGTTTTTGTTATTTGTTTTGATAGGTGCGCAAATAGAGTTGCCATATATAAAAAATTTAATTTTAATTTTCATGAAGAGCTTTCGTAAAGTCTATCGTTTGCTAGTTCGTTTGCATTATTTTGCGCCATGCTACTTCGTTCAATAGTTGGCAACTCCAAAATATGTGAAAATTTTCTACTTTTAATCTACATTTGGAATAACTATCACTTGCCATTGTTGGGTTAAGAATCCAGTAACCACCTTTAGACACATATCTCGATAAGCGATTAAAATCGTATGTTCTAAAACTGAAAATTTTTGAGAGGTATTACGTATTTATTCACAAAGTATATATTTATAAAGTTGAAATACTTATGTATACGTATATATCGAACTGTTATCGATTATTTGAATTGTTCGACCGATCTGTGTACCAACTATGAATTCAAATTAATTTGTTTACACTTTTTTTTGTCAACTTCTGCAATCAGCTGTACATTATTCTATTATTTATATTTATGTATCGTGAATAACACTTGTTTACCTCACTAGAAATAAAGTCTGCATTAAGAATTTTTAGCAAAAGTGCTATCACTAAACCAAGCTAAATACTTATACCCTGAACAGGGTATATTAGGTGTAACACCCAGAAGGAAACGTCTGAGACCCTATAAAATATATACATAAATGCTAAACATTATGAGCTGAGTTGATTTAGCCATGCCTGTCCGTCTGTCTGTCTGTATATATACGAACTAGTCACCCAGTTTTTAAGCTATCGATCTAAAAGTTTACACCTGTCCTTGCCTTTCTAAGAAGCTGCTCATTTGTCGGTATGGCCGATCCCAGACCATTATAGCATATATTACGTCTAAGACAATAATCTATTCTTCGAGGAAATTGTCCAGATAATCTCACTATAGCATATAGCTGCCATACATACTGAAGGATCGAAAAACTTTGGAAACTTTGTATTTGTAAAGGGTATTGTAGCTTCGGTGCAACCGAAGTTAACGTTTTTTCTTGTTTCAATTAAATTCAACAAACAAAAGGAAAACTATTTAAATAGCGCACTTGACAACTTATATCCTGCGATTTTGACGCACTTAAATATTCAAAACTGTTCGATTGTAAGATATTGATTATTTTTGTTATCTAATCGCATTGTGAAGTGCATGAAAGCATTTCAAACAATAGCCGGCACTTAAATGTGACAAAAAATTAAATGGAATCGGCTGCTATGAAAATACCAACCCTTTTTGGTAGGCATTGGTGGGCAAATTTATATAAAAAATTATTCCATCATAGCGTTGTTATCGAACATTTCTTAGAACCAAGTTTACAATCAAAATCACTTCCACTTTTGTTTACATACAAGTATTTTAGTGGAAAATTAGTTGTGAAATAATTATTTGGCACTTAAGTTAACATGTTCAATTACTTTGTAGCTAACACATAGAAATTAGTTTTTATCAACATTTTAGTGTAAATATACTTCAGCTTTAATCAATTAATCAGTGGCAATGATTTGCTTAATTTCACATGTTTTCGTCAAATGATTTCTTAAAAACATAAAATGAAATTTAAAGAAAATAAATTTTAATGGTTTTTACATATATAGTAAATTATTTTATTGTATTTACAGTACAGTAAAATTTAATTTTATTAATTACATGCATTGTGTACATATGTGTTTTTAATGAATATGCGCTGCATTTAAAATTTTCTTTTTACGTTCCCAGTGATTATTATGATTATTTATTATTTTAATAATATTAAACAATTTTCATTTATTTTTATATATTTGTTTTTAAAAGATCTATATACAAGTATATGCATAGTATATAAGCTAAATACATATGTATATATATTTTAAAAAATTTTGCACAGCTCTCGTGTTTTGTATGTCTTTAATAGCACCAACACCAAGAAAAATTATTACAAATTTATTTTATGTGTTTTGTGCTAAATATATATATATGTACACGTGCACACAAAGCTATATTTACATATAGTACGTTTATGTAAAATAGTTGTATATACCGAAAAGGAATATGTTTTAATAGAATTTTCACCTAAGACAGCATTAAATGGCACAGTTAACAATATTTTTTTTTTAACAAGTGATAACAAATAAAATGTATACTCTAAGCTTTATTTTATAAAATTAAAATTATTGGAGAAGTTTTAAAGCTATAGCAAATTAATTTTTTCAAATAAAAACAAAAATTATATAAATAAAATTTTAACTTTCTAGAACTATACCCACAAATTTTGAATTTATTTATTTTTTTGGTTAAATTTTTCTTACGTTTCGATTAAAGAGCAAAACAAGTATCCAAGTTTTAGATGGCTTTTACTTTTAACTTTTTTAAAACAAACTTTTTTCTCTATATATTCAAGCTTTTAATATTTGATTAATTTAAAAAAATAAAGAAAAAATTTTGTAATTTTTCAAAATATATTTTTTGTTTTTGTAAATTTAAATTTTTTTTTAATTTTTTTAACATTTCTCTCGAATTTTGTTTTAGTTGAGTTTTTTAACGTTTCTATTAATTGGCAAAAAAAGTATCCAAGTTTTGGAATTTATTTTACATTATTCAATTTTTTACCTTTTAAAATAAATTTTCTCTCGATTTTTGCACGATTTTTTAGTCTTTCAAAATGTATTGTTTTTTTTTCGTAAATTTATTTTATTTTTAAATTTTTAACGATTTCCTTTTTTGTTTTCGAAACTTTTATTTTTAACATGTCCTAAACTAAATTTTTTTTTCAAATAATTGTTAAATAAATTTTCTCTTCTAAATTATGCTCTAAATATATTTTACAAAACATATTAACTTTTTTGAACTGTTCTTGCTACCTCATAAATATATTTAAAGCAATTTTAATAATATAACAACAGCTTAGCTGAAATTTTTTGTTGCTACTGTTTATTTTTATATTAATTTCATTATTGATATATTTTTTTCCCAAAAAAAAAAAAATCAATAACTCTAATAATATATTTATTTTAAAGAACTGATAAGTATTTTTCAGTTGTAGCTACTTTTATATAGTCTACAATTTTAATTAATATATAATAACTCACCTTATTCAGCATAGAATTACTTTTCACCTTTTAAGTAAAATAAATTTGTGTTGTAATTTTGTGATATAACCGTCACTAGCAAAAGTGAATCTTAATGCCTGTAGTTCTATATATATTCACATATATATGCAATATATCACTTAATAATCACGCTGTATTTATTAGCGTCTTCTTAGACCGTTATATTTGTGATATTCGTAAACTAGCAGCAAATTGCTTCACTTAATTAATTAAATTGAATTTTATTGATTCGGTTCGATTGATTGATTGATTGATTAACGATGTAATTATACCTGTATATTTGTTTTGCTAGGTTATGTTTACTACTCTCTTTCTTAAACCCCACAAACACACTTGCAATTCTACGCTTTACAATAACAATTGTGAATTTACTAATAATTTGTTTTTAATTTTTCTGTACAGGTGTTGTCTATGAGCACAGATGATTATCGCAAGGCTTCATTATTTGCAACCGGTTCTTTTGACTTGGACTTCCCCATACCAGATTTAATTGGCACAACAGAAATTCTCACAGAAGAGCATCGGTAAGTGGTTAACGAATTTTTGTTTAACACAATTTAAACTATGAACTGAAGAGTTTAGGTAAAACATATGGCCAGTTGGTATTAAGTTAAGTTTTTCGCAAAATTCTTAAAAATGTTTTTAAAGAAATGTTTTAGTTTTAGTTAAGTTGTGGTTATAATATTTTCATATTATTTAGCACGATTTTTGTCTGAAATTAAATATTCAAACAATTGTAAAAATTATTGAAAAAAAGCAGAGTTCCGACGACGGTTATGGATAACAAATAATATTTTAAGAATTGATTATGTTTTCTACGGCAGCAATGTATTGCTCTGACCAGATGACTTTTTGTGGTTTATAGTCATCCATTTTTGCCACGCCCACATCAAATTTCAAAAGTACTTACTTTATTAGAACTTTTCTTAACTAATTTAACGCTTTGAGGCTAATTAAGCAAACACATACGGCAAGAAGTAATAACTGCATAACTAAATTTTGTAAAATTTTCAATATAGAGCTTTTAAGATAGACTTTTGTTTATGAAACCCTGCTCTATAGCGTTGGATGATCAAATTTGTAAAACTCGTTTATCGATTTGTTGAAATATAAGCGAAACTAGTGAGAAAAGTGCAAAGTTTTAATCTAGTTTAGTTTATCTATGTTAATGCTTAACTCGACTTATGCGGTTTTGCCTTATCAGTCTAGATTTTTATGTACTTGCCTTATTTTTTCAGTCAAATTTTTTGTGACTAATTTAATTAATATATTTTCAGACCCACCCTAATTTCTACTTTATATAAAATATTTATACATTCATATGTATTTATTATCAAAAATAAAAAATATATATATTTGAGAATTCAAAGATGATTAAATCTTCAAAACACTCAATTAACTGCGCATGTTTCTTCACTAGCAAAAAAATAATTGAAACTGTTATTTAATTTTTTTTACGCAAATGTGCAAATATACGTACATATCCGCAAACAGGCAGGTAGCTCTTTCTTAAAAGCTCATATGATTTGCATAATGATTTAAGTATTAATTATAAAAACTATATGGTATACATACATATAAAGATGTATAAAACGTAATCAAGTCGTTTTTAGCTCTATGTCATTACACAAATGTAATTAAGAGTATTTTAAGTCACACGAAATGGTGCCATTTGGTATCATGACACAATGTAATATACAATTTATTTTCATTTTTGTTGTTGTTTTTTTTTCGCCCGTTTAGTGAAAAACTTTGTGGACACCTACCCGCACGCGCCGAAGGCTATTCATGGTCATTGATATTCAGCACCTCCCAGCATGGCTTCTCGCTGAATTCGCTCTACCGAAAGATGCAGAAACTCGAAAGTCCCATACTAATTGTAATACAAGATACAGAAAATAATGTGAGTAACAATTGCGTTTATATTTTTAAATCTCAAAATAATTTTCGAAAAATGCAATTTGGGTTTTTTTAGGTCTTTGGCGCATTAACGTCCTGTTCCCTGCACGTGTCTGATCATTTCTACGGCACCGGCGAATCGCTGTTATACAAATTTAATCCCAGCTTTAAAGTGTTTCATTGGACCGGCGAGAATTTATATTTCATTAAGGGCAATATGGAGAGCTTGTCGATCGGTGCTGGAGAGTAAGTACTTCATTGAAGTTTTTATTTTTCAATTATTTATCATAAGTGTTAAGTAAATATTCGATTTGAGTCACATTTTTAAAACATTTTTTGATAAAAAGAATACAAAATTTTGCGCATTCATGCGCAGTAAACAGCAACTGTGCCGGCCCCAAGGAAGCAGCTCGTTTTATGACCCGTTAGATGCCTTTCCTCCAAACAGGGCTTTAGATAACCCTTTCAACAAGAAAAATTGTACTCTACAGAGATTTTGCTTGTTTATGAGCTGTAATAGAGTTTAATAGTATCTGTGAATAGTGTAGATTATTCCGTTCCCTAGATAAACCTGCATACGTAAGTGGAAGGGAATCGCATTTATATTCGAACTATCATTTCAGCAGCATTTTAAAAACTATTTGGCATTTTTATGCTTAAGCAATAACAACAACAAAAAATTTGTATAATTATTGAATGTTAGTTCTCTTAAAATAAGTTCGTGGTTCTCTTTCTCTTTTGATAAATAAAATTTAAAGATTAAAAGCGGTTATAGTATTGATTAATTTTCTTTAATAATTTAAGAAAGCGTTTGTTTTTTCAAACTACGACATGAAAAAATTAAATTTATTATTTGTTTACTCTGATATATTTACTTTTTTATTTTTAGTATTTATTATAGCGTTCTAATTGTCTAGTCGAGATTCTTAAAATAGCTTAAAGAGAGTATATTCTCTACATTATTTCATGCTATCAGACATGTTTCAGGCAAAACGCAACAATAAAAACTTTATTTTCAAAATTTGTAAACAATATATTTTCTTTAGAAAATATAGTAAAAAATGCATGATCAGCATTACTTTATTATATGTTTTTAAATGCATGAAAATATAGCTTTCAATTAAAACAGAAATTGAAATTGAAATTTAAATTTATTTATATATATAAAATTGTATATATATATATATATATATATATATATTTAATTAATACATTATAGTTTACCTATTTATTTATTTTTTTTTTTTTTGTAATTAGCAACTGATTTTATAGCCAATTTAAACAAAAACATACTTACTGAAAATTGGATATAGAGTAAGAATAATAAATCCTTCTTTAAGGGTATCTAAATAAAAATGGTCATAACATTTATAATATAGTATTTTAAGGTCTTGACCGACCATCGATACCCATCTTGGAAAAATATATGTTTTAAACTGAACATACTCGGTTAGGCTTGATTTGTTTGATGCCTAAAATGTTTGCAATAAATCTATTTTTTTCCCCATCACAGTTTTTTACAATAAAAAAAAAGTTTTTTTTTGCAAATTGCTTCTTTTTTTAAGTTTTTAAGAATTTTATATATTCTCTACATATTTATTTTATTTTTTCCATTCACTAACTAATAAGCCCGTTTTTTCTCCTCTTTTCAGCGGTCGCTTTGGTCTATGGCTGGACGGCGACCTCAACCAAGGACGATCGCAATCCTGCAGCACATACGGCAATGAGCCACTAGCACCGCAAGAAGACTTTGTTATTAAAACACTCGAATGCTGGGCATTTGTTTAAGATTTTTTAGTGAAAGCATACAAAAATTATTACTAAAGCTAAACTATATTATAATTAGTGGAGAAAAACAAACTATCAAAGAAAACAAGAAAGCAAACATATTTAACTTTGTGCAAGAATCAATTTAAGAAAACCAAGAACAGCAACAAATGCAAGCGAACCGAGACTTCTCAGAGCCGTGCAGTTGAACTACAACAACAACAAACACAACCAGAAAGTGGTAGGCTGCGGCGAACGCAGAAACAGCACGTCGGCAACAACAAAAACAAAAGCAAAAGAAATTTATAATTAAAACTATATTAAATATAAGTTAATCATATTATAATAATTAAACACTAAGCGCTATTAAGGAAATCATTTCGAACGAAAGAGCAAGAATTGTTATTATTTTTTTTTTTTATACATTCGGATGATGCATATTCATGCGCGTGCAGCACATTTTGAAACCACACATGTAACTCAGCGTCAAATGTCAGCCTGGAAAGTGTCATTTAAGTAAAAAAAAGCAACACAAAAAACAACAGCAAAGAAAAACGCTTCGCTATCCTGGCAAGCATACAAACTACACACACATACATATTTACATACATACAACCATAAAATGCATCATACAAGCGCTAAGCACTATTTTGTGCGAATTCTTTACATACACACTCACAAAAAGCTGTGTCATTGCTTTATTTAAGTTATTATGTATTAATGCTACAACAAAAATGTAAAATTCGACTTTTCGAAAACAATTTAATTTGCAAAATTTCGTGAACAAGCCTTCTGAAAGTAACTTAACTGTGTGGCAACACAGTTGTAGACACAAGCACTTTTGCTAGCATACTATATGATTTACCACTACTTTCGGAAGGCTTCAACTCGTAGTGCAACTAATCATTAGAAAAGTACGATTATTTTATTTAAAAAATGTATTTAAACGTAATATTGTTGCATATATTGTAGCGCAGTAGATTTTGTAGAATTGTGCGTTCAAAAATAGTAATTGAAAATTAAAAAAAAATAACATTTGTGGAATAAAAGTGGGAAAAGCGCCTATAAAGAATGGCTTATAACAACTATTTTCTCTTATTTTATAATAGCATAATTTTTGAGTATCCAAAATTGCTAGGTTTTGAAAAGTGTATATAAAATGAAAGATTACAGTTAGAATTCGTATTAAAAATTGCTGTAAAAACAATGTTATGCACATATTAATTTGAAAGAAATGTATACATTTATTGATTATTGTTAAAAAAAATTAATTATCGTAACATAATGTTACTTAACTTAATGTGACATAACATAACGTAACGTGATTTGACGTAACGTAAAAAAAACTATCGTGACGTAACGTGACATAACTTAATGTGACATAACGTAACGTGACTTGACGTACCGTAACTTAAAAAGTTTAGCAATTGTTAAAATTTAAAATTATTAAATTATTTAAAAATGCTTACATACATATGTTTGGTATTTGAATCCCATCGCCGCGTCATGCTCTGTTGCTTTCCTGTTATAGGCCATATGCTACATACAAGCATACAAGCAAATATACACACCTACAAAACACTTATCACTCCCAACCACGCAACTTTTGTAGCGCTTTGAGAAGCAAGCACTTGCTTAATGCATCGATTTTTATTGACGACAAGGTTAAGAATTCATAAAATTAAATTTTGAATGTTGTAATAGCAAAAAAATATATAAATAAAAAAACCACATGCAAACATATATACACACATATAAATATTGTGAGCTAGCTAGCTAGCTGTTAAAAAATGCGCATTGATTGCGTCGTAGTTACACTTAAGTTTTTAATTAAATGAGTAATTTACACTTAATTAAATAATTAAACTAATTCTTATTATTATGATCATAACTGTAGCGTTTATTTTATTGTTATTAACATGGAACTTTTGAGAATGAGCGTTGCGTATTTTTGTTTGTTTAATTTTTATTTCAGAAAATTAATTTATAGTGCTTTAACAGGGCGTTAATTTTGTGTGCATAATCATTTTAAAGTAATTGAAAATATGCAATTCAAAAATAATGAAAATTTTAATACAATTATATGAAAAGAAATGTTGAGAACAAACAAACTCAAAACGCTAAACGCAAATCAAGAGTATAACATATACATGTATAAATATATGGCAATTATTATGTGAACGAGCGTAAAGGATAAATGCAAAAATACATTATTTACAAACAAAAACAATTACAAACAAATAAACACGATTTCTTTCATTTCGTTTTCTTTGGTTGCTAGAATTCCAATTCAATTTCAGTTAGTATATTGGTTAGTAGCAAGGAAATGTTTACATAGGCCGACCAAAAAAAAATATTTTTTTAGTTATCGTGAAATATCGTTCGAAATTACAAAAAAAGCTGATAATTATCATTAATCATTAATTTTATAATACAATAAAAATGTCTAATCATTTTAAGACTTCCAATTATGTTATTAAAAAATTACTTTTTACCGTTTTTTTTTCAAACGTGCTAATTGAAAAATAAAAATGACTATGAATTTTTCAAATAAAAACCAGGAATGTAAGATATTTTATACTTTTGAGGCATTATTTTGTGTAAAAATTTAAAAAATTGTTTAATTTCCATTTTACGATTTAATATTGGACTTTGAGCTCGAATAACTTTTGAACGAGTCGAATTAGCAGAAAATCATCTCCGGTCTTTTTTGTAAATAAATAAATTCTCTATAAGAAAAAGAAAGTAATTTGTTCAAATGCATTAAACTTAAAACAAAATGTTCCTGTATAATTTAATTTTTCAAATTATACCAGATTTATTTTAGTCATTTTGAACAATATTGCCCCACGTAATACATACATATATGATTTTTAAATATTATGTTTGTAAAGAACCGCTAGTAGGAGCACAAAACAGTGTAAAGCTCAGAAAATATTCGATCGCACAGAAACTTTTGAATATGTTCAAAATATATACAAATATATTCAACTGAATTCAGTATTTGCACTCAAAAAGCACACCATGGCTTTCTGCAGCCATGCGGCTTAAGAAAATGAAGCTGAGTAAAATGCTGACAAGCCAAAGCCACTAAAACATCTTGTTTAAAGTTGTACTGTTAGAGATTTGAAAATATGAAATTTGCACTAATTCAGCTTAAAGAAATTATAGCTGAATATATCGCTGAAAGTGCTACAAATACAGCTTATGCACCAAGTCTTTCGTATGTAAATATTTGTATCTGATCAACTCCTTAATCAAAATATACAGAGGTTATATTCTAATTGCTTTTTGGAGTATTAACTTAGCTGAAGCTGTTCTGACTTTGTGATCAGATGATTGTATTAAAAAGTCTGAAATTTGAGGATGCTAAAAATGGCATAATCTTTCTAATGCGGCTTTCAAGAAGACACTTTCTGGAGTAATTTTATATTTATAGATATTCTGCAGTCCCATTGTTTTATTACAAATAACTTGAAGAACATGCAACCCTGCTAAGTAAGTCAGCTGCTACACAAGCAGTTACAATAAACAATTAACTTTAATTTGAATCATAACTTGAGGTTGAGGTCTGAAACAGCGTTCTCTTGAGGTAATCGTTAACTAAATACCAGATTTTTGTCATGAGTTTTAAAAGGTCTCTAAATATGAATTATGATTTACTTACAGTTATAAGTGGAAATTTATTAATTCTAAGAGGTCAATCGTGTTATATTTTTTTTTTTATATTTACATGCCGTCCTTGAGAAAAGGCTTCCGCAATTTCATTATTACCAAGTTTTAAAAAAATTATAAATGTGTGTGTCTGTTTAAGCTTGGCTCACTGTTAAACATATTTCTGCCTATAGAGATCAGTTGAAATATGAAGCATATCTTTAGGCGTATTGATGACTAACAGTGAAGTACTGCAACTTTAGGCAAGATATAATAATTATTATCATTTGAATATATTACAATAGGTCCATTTTCTAAATGCGTAAACAGGTAATTATCAGACAAAGTTCCAAAAATTTCGATGTAGACCTAATCGAAATATGTAAGTTAAAATTTTTTTTTGTTGTTTGTTTGAAAAAATTGGAATTTTTTCCAAGTTGATTTTTTTTTGCTAACGATCACAAGCGTTTCAGTTTTTGTCCTAAAAACAAGAATCCAACATAAACAAGCTTTTCAATTTAAATCGCGCTCAGATCATATTTCTGTTTTATTTTCTGGGAATTTTTGATACTAAAAACTTTTGTGGGCGTTTGCCAAAAAAAAAAAAAAAATTTTTGGAAATAACGCATAAGCTTTGCCAATATAAGCTTTCTTCTAAATATTTTAAACTGCACCCTATGAGTTACCGTAACTGTGACATCTTGCTCTATCTGGCTGGAATTGCGATCATTGCTCAAAACCTCTATGCCTGCTCGCTTTTGGTACACTTTGTATGTAATTATAAATTAACAGTTATAACTGAGACTCGGTCGCAAAGGAATAAAGGTTATTATAGCCACGATTTGGAAGTCCATGCTAAACGTGGTTGTTCATCTCTTTATAAGCTTTTCCAAAGAGCTGCCCTAGCAATAAACCAATAACTCACAAAAGAATATGCAGGAATAAGGAATAAAATTAACCGAACTAATACTTTATTTTGTTACTTAAGGCCTACAGACAGCTATTGAAATTAAATAAATTAGCAATTTTAGTATCTAAAGAAATAACCAAGGCAATTTTCTAATTGACTTCATTAAAAGTGTTATGTGAAAACTTAATTGAAACCGGAAACCATTTTTACTGATAAATTTCAAATTATAGAGTTGCCACATTTATATGTAAGATATGTCTTTTATGCTTTATATGCATTTTATTTGAAAAATATTAATTTCTTGGCTCAAACTTGTCATACACGTTTACATTACAACAAATTAGCAGCAGAAAAACTCAAAAACTTAATCCAATACGCACACGAGTTTCAAAATCTTTTGGAATAAACGAAATCAAAGTATTTATAAACTGAATTGAAAAGGTGTTTTACGACGAAAAAAACTCAGAAATAAAATTAAAATAAATTAAAAACTTAAGTAAACGCTTAGCACAGTTCCCAACTGTGTAGTAGAGATAGTTAAAATAATTGCACCCTCTTATTGCTGTATCGCCGTATTGCCGCAGTTACATGACGTCATATCCTGTATTATGTATTATGTGTAGCCGTGTAGGTGTATGATATATGTACTTATGTACGCTGAAAAAAAGTTGTTGCTTGTGCAAATATTACTCATATCAAAAATGTTAGCAAAACATTAAAAAAACGTATACAAAACTATGTGTGCATTAAATTAAAAAAAAAAAATCCAAAAACAAAAAAAATATGTATTATGTATGTATATGGTGGCATTCCTGTAGTTTTGTAGTTTTTTGCACGCTCCCAAGAAAACTGAAAAAAAAAATTAAATACTCTAAATAAAAAATCATATATAAACTATATGTATTATGGTATGTTATATACTCTCATAATCAGTAAATAGTATATTGTTGGTGCATTTACGTTTTCTCCTTGAAGAAATAAGTGAAAACCCTTTCAGCTTTAAAATAAAATTGACGCAGTACACTTGTTGAGCTGAAAATTAAATAAAAAAAAAAAAATTTTGACGATAGCTTAAGCTATGAAATCACTAAATCTTATAATGCGAGCATTTGCAGAAAGTATTTTTAAAGCAAACTTAAATGATTAAAAAAGACTTTTGAAATAGTATATCGACACTAAAAACTTGTAATCAGCTGCAATCAACCCACTGTGCACGTTCCCTTTTTGCCCAGAACTGTGTCGATCACGCCAAAAAGCTTTATTTTCGAGATGGCGGGAATCTCAGAATAACTCCTAAGATTTTTTACGAAATTTTTTAAGAAATTTTAGAACTAATGCTTTAAAAACCTATATCATTATTAGTTCATATATATTTTGTTAGACAATTGTATGCATATAATATTAGTAGACATGATAGAAATGAAACGATCTTTTCTAATTAAATTAAGCTCTTACATGTCCCACATTGATTTTTAAATATTCCATTCTAATTCTACCGTAAGACATTGTTGGTAATATAACATTTTATAATTATAAAAGAGAAGAATATCAAACTATTACCCTAGAGGAAACACATTTTACTTACTTTGTATTCAAAAAAATTTCCAATAATTTTCCAGTTATAAAAAAGAGATAAATATGTAGCCATATTTTGCACTTTCTGCGCTTTGCTTTATAACTTTTAAGTTTTGGCAAACCGTATTTGCAAATTGTGTTGAAAATAGTGGCTCTATCCTTTTGTATACCTTTGCTAATAAACCCAATCTCTTCAAGAACTCTATATTCTATATTACCATAGATTGATCATTGGACAAGGACAGAGTTCACAATTTGTTAAAGTTTTATAAAGGGTGCTCCATATTTGAGGGAACTATGTGGTTTCTACAGGCATTGCTTTCGACGTCATGTCCACAATGGTATTTTGTCATCAGGTCGAAAATTATAAAAATAGCTTCTCTGTCATCTGTGCACTTCATAAACTAAGCTAACTGAACTGAAACTGAGCTGAATCCTAAGCTATTCTTGAGGAAAAGATTTTAAAATTAGAAAAAACGTAGACCGCTCGATAAGGAGTTAAAATCATGACTACACTTTCTCGTACCCCTAACAGATATGTTGGAATTTCAACGAACGGTATGAACGGTGTATATAGTATAGTGAGGAACGAACCCAGATAGAATGAGAAAATGTCTCAATTCGTCACGCTCATTCGTTAAAATTAGAAAACGTCGCGCTTGACACATCAATCTTAGGATCGTTCTAACCAATGCATGATGAGATTGAATTAAATACATACATAGAAAACATGAAAGTTTATTGAATCGCCGACACAAAACACATTTTTTGTTAAATAGAGTATAGGTATATTAGGTTGGAGCGAAAAAATTTTTTTTTGTTTAGCCTGAGGGTAAAATTTGTAGATTATAAAAAAAGAAAATTTTTCTAACATCTAGAGGCGGACCACTCACTTTTAAAGTAAATTTCAAGCTTAATTTTTTTTTAAGAGTTAAAATTTTTGATAGGTGCTCTAGAAGCCGTAGAGAGTCCTCTTTCTGGCCAATTAAAAGCTATCAACTTAAAAAAAATGTTTGTGGTCATTATTGGAGTTTTAAAAAAAAGTCTTAAACGACAACAAGCCTGTTAAAATAAATGTTGAGTCAAAAATCGTCAAATTCGGTAAT